ATGGTTGTCCTCTCAGTTAAGTTTTTAGTTTCTGTCTATTATGTCAAGCGCAGTTGAGAATTGGCTTTCTCTCGATTTCGATAAGAACACCCGTAAGGAAGCCCAAGAGCTTACTCCTGAGGAGATCGAAGATCGCCTCAATCCTAATCATCGTATGGAATTTGGTACCGCTGGTCTTCGTGGCGAGATGGGAGCTGGCTTCAACCGTATCAATTGTTTGACTGTGATGCAAGCTGCTCAAGGACTATGTATGCAATTGATCTAGAGGTTTGGTGAAGATGTTCTCTCCCAGAGAGGTGTCGTCTTTGGTTATGATGGACGTCATAATTCTCGTCAATTCGCTCATGTTGCCTCGGCTGTCTTCATCACGAAAGGTGCTAAAGTCTACCTCATCGACAAGACCAGTGTTACTCCTTCCAATCCATTCTTGATTGTTCATTTCCATGCTCTAGCTGGTGGTCAGATGACAGCCTCCCACAACCCGAAGCAGTACAATGGTTTCAAAGTATACGGCGATAACGGTGCTCAAATTATCCCTCCAGTTGATGCCGAGATCGAGGCTAAGATTGCTGAGAATTTGGTTCCATGGAAAGATGCTTTGGAGTTGTTGGATTTGGATACCTGTTTATTAAAGGACAAGTCCAAGACCATCGATCCTTACAATGATGCCTTGTACACCTACATCGATCAAATGTATCACGAGCTGTGCCGATTTCCTGACCTCAACAAGGACTGCAACTTACAGTTCGTCTACACGGCTATGCAAGGTGTTGGTCTTCCATTCGCTACCGGTTTGATGGACAAGTTTGGCTTCCCCAAGAAGTGTGTGTCGATCGTGGAAGCGCAGGCTCACCCTGATCCTGAGTTCTCCACTGTCGCCTTCCCCAACCCCGAAGAGAAGGGTGCACTCGACATGAGCAAGCAACAAGCAATTGATGAGGATGCCGATTATGTATTGGCAAATGATCCCGATGCTGATCGCTTCACTTCTTGCGAAAAGCAGAAGGACGGTTCATGGCATCAATTCACTGGTGATGAGCTTGGTACCATCTTTGGAGATTGGCAACTGTTGATGGCTCATCGTCGTGGTGTCGACCCGAAGAATTGTCTGGTCATCAATTCCACAGTATCGTCTAAGATGCTGAAGGCGTTATCTGATTACTACGGTGGAGTGTATGAGGATACTCTAACAGGTTTCAAATGGATGGCTAACAAGTCATTGGAGATGACCGCTGAACACTCCAATTTGGTACACTGTACGGCTTATGAGGAGGCACTAGGAAGTGCCCTCACGATGAGTGTCCCTGATAAGGATGGTATCAGTGCTTGCAGTGTCTGGTGTGAGATGGCTAACTATTGGCGTAAGGAGAAAGGTATCACTCTTCTTGAACGACTAAATGAACTCCGTAAGATGGTTGGTTTCTTCGCACAACACAACGGTTACTTCATCTGTGATGATCCTAAGGTTATGAAACAGATGTTTGATGAGTTCCGTAATGAGGGTAACTACAAGACCGAGCTCGGGTCATCTAAGATAGCTGATGTTCGTGATGTTACTCTTGGTTATGATTCAAGGAGGAAGGATAAGAAGTCTACATTACCTATGACACCGGATGCTCAGATGATTACTCTCTACTTCGATGATCAAGCTACTGTTACTATCCGTGGATCTGGTACTGAACCCAAGGTGAAGTACTACTGTGAGGCTAACGATAAGGAGAGTATGGAGAAGGCTCAGGAGAAGCTCGAAGTCGTCGTTAAAAATGTCATCGACTACTTCCTCCAACCCAAGAAGTACAATTTGGGTTCTCGATAAGGCGATTGTTGATTCATCGTTCTGATTCCAGAGAACTCTGGGCTACGATCAGACGGTGTTTCGTCATAGGACCATTCATCAGGATCCATTTTTTTTCTGAATCCGAACTTAATATGCGGTACATTGTATCGTAGAATTTTTCTGAGAATCATCGGTGTTGCTTTTAGCAGTTTCTTCGGTTAGTGCGGTCTCGCTTGAAAACACTAATGATCTATACCGATTGAGGTCTCATTAAGAAATAAGAGCTGCTGAGCTCCTCGACCGATGGGAAGTCCGATCGCATGGTAAAATCCAGTGGAGACATTCACACAGAACCATGACAGACGCCGAGATCAACTTCAACCCTTATCGTACGTGAGGAGGTTGATGAGAGTCTTAATCGCGGCTTCATAATCTGCCATATCATATATGTGTAAATCTATATCCCCAAGGACAGGACAAACGTACGCTCAAGTAGACAAGTCACGTCACACACTCTACAGTGTGTTCGATTTTGATAGTCCGGAACCGAAAAAATGCATAACTTATCAAATACGCATTATTTTACATAGGGCATATCTTTAAGAGTGTATCTCTTCAGATAGTTGATCGAATAACCGGAGTGGAATTGGCGCCTCCCATTCGGAGATGTGAGCTTAGTGAGGATCCAGACACTCAAGTGAGGCGATTCGAGCTCGTATTCTAACCAGCTAATGCTTGACGACTCCATCATACGTCGTCATTTTGACTTTCTGGCCTTTTCAAGCGTTCTTGATGCACTACAGTCGCTTACCTCGTGCCAACAGACAAATGAAGGCGGTGGCTGTCGGTGAGCGTGTTCGACCAGAAGTAGGCCACCATGCACAATTGATACATACATTTACTCTGAAGGACGGTTCTCGCCACCTTCATGACAACGTAAGTTGGGACAAGATGTGTGTCGACGCAATTTCCACTGAAATGGGACAAGGTGATCCTCGCTTAAGTGCTAGTAAAAGC